ACCGTGCGGTGACCTCGAAATCCCCCAAGACCTCACCGCACGGTCCGTCACCGCACGGTCTTGGGAACCCGGAAGCCCCTGTCGCACGAGACGTCCTCGGAGAGGGACTCGAGTCCCAAACCGTGCGGTGACCCCGAATCCCCACCGACTCACCGCACGGTGTGGTCACCACCCCGTTTGGGGAGACCCCCGAACCTGGGATAGGCCTGGCTAAGACCGACAGACGCCCTCCCGACGAGGTCTCCGTTTTCAGTCTGCCCGCCACTCCCGCTCGCGCCGCGGACGAGCGAAGAGGTGCCGCCACGCCCAACGCTGGCGCTCGCACCTCCGACGCTCTGGGCCCCAGCCCTTCTTCACTACGGTCAGCCCGTGTGATAAGGGCGCGCGGTAGGGATGCAGGGGCCTTAGAGTTAGGACGAAACTACTGGGAGGTTCTCGTCGGAAAGATTAGGGAGGATTAAGCTCCAGTCGGGAACTGTTACGCCGGAATGGGCCTCGGACCCAGCAAGATTAAGCCGGATTAAACAGGATAAAGCGGGGGTAAGCCGGATTAAGCGGGATTAAGCCGGATCAAGCCGGATTTAGCCAGACTTCGGACCACGACAAACTCAAAATTTGACCTCCCAGAAATTGCATCCGAGCCTCAGAGGGCCACATGGACGTTTCCCGAACAAGGCTGGCCCGCGAAAGTCGCCAGGTATGGGCCCTGGACAGTTGCTCCTCCTTTCGGTGCGGGGGGACTGTACGTCCGAGCATTCACCCCGGAAGGAATGAAAAACTAGGGCTCCCAACTTCGCGCTTCGCGCTCCGCGAAGCGCGAAGCGCGAATAACTTCGCGCCCTCGCGCCGCCCCCCCAAAGGGAGAAAAGGAGGACGAGGAGGAGGGGGAGAAGGAACGAGGACCGCGAAGCGCGAAGCGCGAATAACTTCGCGCCCTCGTGGGAGCCCTTGGAAAAACTGCGCAACACACATACTTCCGGAGGCCCGTGCGGACCCCTCGGATCGGCGCCAGACACCCCTCCCTGGCGCGCGGGGTGCGCTTGGGGCGGCGCAGGAGGCGCCGCCGGAGGGCTGTCCAGCACAGATTCGAGACCTCTCCTCCCGCAGTCATCAAACGTTGCATGATTGAAATGATCCGTCGACTCGTTGGTGTCACGGAGTGACTCGCAAAGCGTTCCCCTGGAGCTACACGAAGAGTGGCATGTGATACCTGCAGGTACGAATGTGTCCAGCAAAGGTCCTAGAGTCCTAATAGGAACAACAAAAAACAGTATCAACATCAAATATTGACGCTCCGCGCGAATTTCCTGGATCTTCGTTGAACCTCCCTCCCTGGCGCGCGGAGCGCGCCAAGGGCCGCGCCGGAGGCGCCGCCAGGAAGGGCCAAGCGCAGATCCAAGAAATCCGCGCGGAGGGTCAAAAGTTTGTGCGTTGTGCCGTTACTTCTTCGAAGTCAAAAAAAACAAGCACAGGTCCCGAAGGTCCGCGCGGAGCTCCGAAAACAGCACACATCGGTCGGAAGAAGTAGGTCAACTCGTGGTAGGAAGGCGGACAAAGTGGATTGGGTCCAGGCCCTCCCAGAGAATACACAAACACAACACAAGCTGTTTGATGATTGAAGTACTCGCCATCGCTCGGACGTCCATTCCCAGTGTTTTTTTCGGCTTCGTGCGTGGCTTTTTCGCCAAACGATCAAGGATCTAGGGCTCCCAACTTCGCGCTTCGCGCTCCGCGAAGCGCGAAGCGCGAATAACTTCGCGCTCTCGCGCCGCCCCCCCAAAGGGAGAAAAAGGAGGACGAGGAGGAGGGGGAGAAGGAACGAGGACCGCGAAGCGCGAAGCGCGAATAACTTCGCGCCCTCGTGGGAGCCCTTGATCAAGGATGCTCCTCGATCGCCCTCGCCGAGAAAAAATGCACACGTCCGAGCGATGCCAGGAATGGGAAGGCGCCTGAAGTGCAGCCGGACCAAGGCCAGACGAGCACCCTCCAAGAACATGAGGCCCTCCGTCGGCCAACACGCACGGGAGGAGGAGCAGGGGGAGCAGGAGGCGGAGGCGGAGGAGGAGAAGGAGGAGGAGGAGCAGGAGGTGGAGGCGGAGGAGGAGAAGGAGGAGGAGGAGGGGGAGGAGGAGCAGGAGGAGGAGGAGGAGCAGGAGGAGGAGCAGGAGGAGGAGCAGGAGGAGGAGCAGGAGGAGGGAGGAGGAGGAGGAGGAGGAGGAGGAGGAGGAGCAGGAGCAGGAGGAGGAGGAGGAGGAGGAGGAGGAGGAGGAGGAGGAGGAGGAGGAGGAGGGGGAGGAGGCGGGCCCCCGACCCGCCCGTTCGCTGCCCTGGCCCCTCTCCCTCGCTCCCGTATGGGAAGGGGCCCAGGGGCAAACGAAGAAGCAGACACAGGTCCCCGGACCCCCCACGCGCTCCACATCTCTGACGGGGCCCTGGGACACACAGATAAATGGACACAAATAGAAGGATTCCCAACATGTTCTTATATCTTCTGGGTATTTGTCTTCCCCCCACTTCCCATCTCCTGGAGGTTCGTCTTCCCCTCCACTTGCAGTCGAACTTGATTGGAGAGGACGCGCGAGAGGACACGAGACCCTTCCGAGGGCCACGTTGCCACAGACCTGCAGGACTGCAGGAGGGGCCGAGGACACGAAGGCACCCTCGATTTGGCAGGGTCGACCTCCTAATCCGGCCCGCCTGTAGAGGTTCGTCTTCCCCTCCACTTCTGACACGCTCCCTCGTAGAGGTTCGTCTTCCCCTCCACTTCTGACACGTTCCCTCGTTTCTGGGGAATCGACGCTTCTTTGGGTCTGTGTCCTTCTTCTTCTCTCCTAGTCCTAGCTGCACCAGCTCCGGCGGCAGAGCAGGCATCACCCCGCCCCTGCCCCTGCCAGGGCCTGGTGCGGCCTCTGACTCCGCCAGCCGAGCAGCAGGACGAGGGCAGAATCGAGACAAAATCGGACCGCTATACACCGGGAATCCCTGAGAAGCGGCGAATTTGGAGGATGTGTCGGGCGCCGTGGCTGTTTGGGAGCGTTCCGGGACGCTCGGAGTGCATTCTGGAACGCGCTGGAGCGGGTCCATCTCGACTACCAGGCCCGCCCGAAGCAGCCTGAGGGGAGACTGGCCAGGCGCTCCTCCCCACGCGAGGCCTCTGCTTCGAGGCAACGTCCATGCGCGGAGCTGCTGGTGGGATCCTGGCAGGCCGAGCAGGAACACCGTGGTAGCGAGATGGTCTGGGGTAGGCTTGATCATCACAATACTGTGGTAGTAAATCATGGGAGCCTGGTATATCCTCTTAATTCCGTCGTTAGCGTCGACTGGCGTCGATTAGCGACTCGGAGTCGATAAGATAGCGCCGATTTAGCATCGGTTAGCGTCAATTAGAATCGATGTAGTGTCGACCAGCGTCGACTAGCATCGATTCGCAAGAGCCGACAAGATGGTATGGGAGGCTCACATAAGTTGCCACCGAACAATGCGATACACCGATCCGCAGAGCAGTCGCAGGCCTCAATACGCAGACGAGTCACTAAGCTCGCCTCACAAATATGTAGAGAAGGATGGGAACTGAACAGGGTTCTGAAACTCGTGCGGCAGACGGTAAGCACACAATGGGATCTCACGCGGACATGTCGCACAAGATGTATAAATCGAAAATCACCACTATCCCACACGACGCGCAACCGGAGACCATGTATGCTTTCAGATCAACCACCTTACATCGCAATTCGCAGGTAGACGATGTCTTCTTATCGAAACCACTACACACTTCAACAAATCATAACTCACTAACAATTAGCCGACTAGAACAGTCATGTGGGAAACACACGGAACCATGGCGACAAGAGGCACCGTTGGTTTCACAGGGCATAGGCTGGGCCGTATTCAAGATGTCTAGCTCTAAAGCGTGTTCGAAGTTGTGCAGCAAGCAGCGTCCAGACAACAAGGGAAAGTTGACGCAGAAGAGCAACAAAATAATTGCTGCCAAGAGATATCCGATGTTGTTGGTCAAGCCCTCAGAAGAGCTCCTTACCATGTTGATGCAAAACTGTATCTCAAAAGCAAGCAAAGCAAAACATCGACAACTTCTGGGAACTATTGGAGCCTATCAAAATGGTGCCGGCATCTTGACACGCCAAAAATAATGAGGAAGGCGTCACCACAGACGATTTTAGAAGACACATCCCAAAACGGTATGGCCCCCGCGTCGGGAAGGCAAAGGCAAAAACAAACAGGAGCACATGCACCCCAAGGGCAAAGCAAAAGGCAGGTACACAGCGAAGTAAATAAAGGCACGGAGTACAAGGGAGGCAAAGGAAAGTCCAAGGGTCCGAAAGGCAAGGGTAAGAGTACCTCCCACTCGACCACTTTGCAGTAGACGAGCTTACTCGACCACTTTGCAGCAACGCATCCGAGAACCAGGAGGAGCGGCAAGAGCAAGAGAATGCGCCTTGACCCCCCATGCCTGCCCGCGGTGGCAGCGAGCGCGGCTCCAGCCAGCGATCAACAGAATCCGTGACAAATGGGGCCGCGCTCTTGAAGGGTCCCCAGGACACACAAATAAAAATACACAAATAAAAAGATTCCCCATATTTTCCTATATTTTCTGTTTTTTTGTCTTCCCCCCCACTTCCCATATTTTCCCACATGTTCCTGGAGATCGTCGATTAACTGTGTCTGTGTGTTTTTGTTCCCCTCCTGAGTTCTGGAATTCTCCCCGGGTCTTCCTTGGCGGCTCGGAGGGCCGAACCGTGAGAGGCACTGCGCAGACTCTGGGGCGGGCTGGTGCCGACATCCTTCGGAGGCTGTCTGGGGCAGGCTGGTGGAACTGCCGCCGTCCATGGGGGGGCCCTGGGACACACAAACAAATAGACACAAACAACAGGATTCCCTATATTTTCCTCTGTTTTCTTGGTTTTTGTCTTACCCCCCACTTCCCATATTTTCCCATATTTTCTGGAGAATCGACGATTGTGTCTGTGCTTTTTTCTCTCCTGGGTCCAACTCCTTGGCCACGAGGCGCCCTCTCGAGCCAAGCCAAGGTGCTCCGTCGAGCAGAAACCCGCCAGACGTGTCGCGACGGCGGCGGCCCCTTTTTGCTCATACGACGCCAAGGGGGTGCGGCGCGCGAGGCGCCGCCCCAGCCCCGCCGGCGGCCCGGCGGCCCGCGCCTCGCTCACGGCCTCTGCCACGTGACCGTGGCGTGGGGGCTGGCGGCCTGCCAGAAGTAGGCGCGCCCGGAGCTCGGGCAGGTGGCGGAGAGCCACCCGGCGGGCAGCGGGGCCTCGGGCCCGGCGCCGCCCGCGCGGGGGGGGCCCGCGCGGCCGCCGGCGGCAGCCAGCACCTGCTCCTCCAGCTGCTGGGTCTTCCGGGTGGGCGGCATGGCGCAGGTGCTCAGGGCCTCCTGCAGCGCCGCGGCCGCCCGCGCGTGGTCCCCCGCCTGCAGCGCCGCCGCCGCGAGCGCCTCGAGGCACAGCCTCCCGGGCTTCAGCCCGCGGCCGCGCGCCTCAGCCAGCAGGGCCTCGCACGCGGCCACGTCCTGCACGTTGCTGACCATGAACGAGGTGTAGTCCTCAATGCGCGGCTCCAGTCCCGCCGCCTTCATCTCCGCGAACACCACAGCGGCCGTGGCGGCGTCGCGGCGATAGGCACAGGCTGTCAGCAGCGTGTTGAAGTGGTTGTGCTGCGCAGGCACGTGCTCCTGGCGCATGAGCTCAAACAGCTGCCTGCCCTCCTCGTAGCGGCCCCTGCGTCCGCAGGCGGTCAGAGCACCGGCGAAGGCGATCTGCTTCGAGACGGTGGCGGCCTGCTGCCACTGCTCGGCCGCCCGCAGTCTGTCCAGGAGGCGCATCGCCTCCTCCCACTCCCCGACCATCGCGCACGCTTGGATCAGCTCCGTGTACGAGATGACCGAGGGCGTCAGGCCCTGCTGCAAGATGTTGTCGAACAACTGCTGGGCTTCATCCCGCTTCTTGAGCCTCCCGCACATCCTGATCATCATGTTGTGCGCAGCGACCCGCGACGGCCCGTGCGCTGAGGCCGGCATCTCACGCCACAGCTCCCACGCCTCCTCGTAGGCCAGCGCCTTGGTGCAGGCGTCCAGCGCGGTCGCGTACTGGAACTGGGTGGGGGCGTCCAGGGAGCGCAGAACCTGGAGCGCGCCCTGCCAGTCCCCGGCGTCCTTCCGCTCCCGTATCCGCCGCGTGTCGGCGACCTGCTCCGCCGTGGGTCGCCCCTCGGCCGCCTCCCGCCCCCGCGCGTCCAGCAGCGCGCGCTTGGCGGGGGAGAAGCGCACGTCCAGGTCGGCGTTGGGCCCCTCGAAGGTGTTGTGCAGCTTCTTCTCGGGGGAACGTGAGACTCGCGCACGGGGGACTCGGGTTGGCCTGCCGGGGCCACCAGGAAAGTGACGCGACCCAGTCTGAGATTTGACGCGAGCTCCAGCTGCAGACATCCCACGAAAACCAGACCGTCAAAATGCAGGACGCGCTCGTCAAAAAACGTCGGCGAAGCGGCAAACCCGAAGCCTGGCTCACTCGAGTCTTACGCTTCCCCGATCTTCAGCCGCTCCACGTGCACCGAGGAGAACGCCCGCCGCGGCTGGCGCGAAACCACCGCCGCCTCTCTGATCGACCACAAAAGGACCCCTGACCCTTTGGGAGGGGGCCCGAGCTTGGAGAGCCAAAGACATCAGGGAGAGGGGCCCCTCTGCAGCTGTATCGAACCGAACCGCCCAAATGCACTACCCCTCATGCAAAGACAAGGAAACCCGTAAGGCCACGACTTCACTGTGTTCTTACGGGCTAGGTGTTCTTTTATCCTCGATTCGGGGGCGCGCAAACATGGATTAGCGATCCATGGATTTGGCGCGCGGTCGCCAAATCCATGGATCGGGGGAGGTGCCCTCCCCCAAATGCGGTCGGTGCCGCCCCCCTTCGGCAGCGGTGATCCGCGACTTCCCACGGAAACGGAACCCGTCGCTGATCCACGCCCCCTTAATCTTAAGTCAAACCTGTCCTCCTACAGAGGGATTTGGGATGATTGTTTTTTGGAGAACAAACAAACACGAATGGGCAAAAATACTCAACTATGTTTTGACTATGGGAAAGATCAAAATCGTCCCCAGCCTATGTTTTGACTATTTTTGATGTTTCCTCCCATGGAGGGACGGGCCCGGCCTAACGCCAATCCACGCCCCCTTCGTCCCCAGACTATTTTTTTGACTATGTTTGAGTACTCCTCCTGTGGAGGGACGGGCCCGACCTAACGCTAATCAACACCCCCTGAAGCCATGGTTGCGATCGCCTGCGGGCCCCAAGGAAATACACCACCACACGTCGATTCCTCCTCCCTCCTCCGCCCTCATCCTCCTCTCCTCTTTCCTGGAAGAGGGAGGGAATCAGGGAGGTGGTGGTGGTGTATACCTTTGGTCGGCGGTGGACAAACCTCCCTTTAGTAAACCTCCCCTTCGTGAAAACGGCCGGGGACCGAAACCGACGGACGTGGACCCGCAAAAAGGACGGCCGCGACGCCCTCTCGCGAACCGAAAACGGCCAATTCCTTAATCGACGTGTCAGGGCAGGAGGTCTATATCCACCTCCGATCTGGGCCCCCCCCCCCTTCCCCCGGGGGGTGGCCGGAGAGGGCCGCCCCGAACACGGGCCCGCTTTGGACGCCCGAAAGTGGCACGCAAAGAATGGGCACAATGCCCAACAGCAAATGTTGTCCCAAACCAACAGCGGCCGCTGTTGGGCAGGCGGCCTTCTGTCTCGAATGGACACAGGCCGCGGCGGCGTGGACAGCGAATCCTGCTCAAGATGAACAGGAACTGCCGTTCGGGCATTGCACCCATTCCTTCCGTACCCAGTTCGGGCGTCCGGACCCGCGATCGACGCGCCTCGGCGCCCGCACGCCGCGCCCCCCGCGAGGCGAGCGCCGCGGCGAGCGACGCGGCGCCCGCGGGCCGGGCCGCAGGCGCCGCCATTGGGGGGGGCGGCACGGCGGGCGGGTGGCGCCCCCGCAGGGAGGTGCGTCCCGAGCCCCGACGACTGCAGGCGGGCCGCTGAAGGAAGGAAGGCCAAATGAGGAACGAGGTCTCTTCTTTGGCCCCGTGAGCGCCTCCTCGGCAAAGGCCACGAGGGGGGTGTTCAAGAGGGGGGGGTGCAAATCATGACCGGCGGCCTGTGCGCGGCCCAGCGGGGGCGCCAGGGACGTAGTGAAGCAAGAGGAGGCGCCTTGCAACCTGGGGAAACATCATGGCCCCCGCCATGATATCCCCCCCCCCTAGTCATCACCCCCCCTTTGCCGCCCCCGACCTCCGTGCCCGAGGAGGGCAAGAGGAGCAGCACCGGAGGAACCCAAGGAACCTCGAGCCCCTTCCGAACCCAAACTGTTACTGATTTCAGCGAACCTGGCCGAAAGTAGGCAACAAATCGTGCCCGTACGATTTTTCGACTCTGTTTGCACATTCCTCCTGTAGAGGACCCTGCCCGACTTCCACGGAGTGCAACGGCGGCGGGTGCCTAGTTGAACATTGTATACGTTGCCAAATCTGTCTTAACGGGCGGGAGCCCCGTCGAACATTGTATAATTTGCCAATTCTGTCGTAACGACAGCGGGTTCCCGGTTGAACACTGTATAGTTTACCAAATTTGTGGTAACGACGGTGGGTGCCCATGTGACTGCCCATGTGAGATGCAAGTTCCGTAGCCGTCTGGGCTCGAAGAGCGTTGCATGCGAGTCTGCAGCGCCCTTGCACGCGAATCTGAGCGTCTTGGGCGAGAGTCCAGCAAGGCCGTTTTTTTCATCAGGTGGTGCCCACAGTTTGCGCCACAGCATTGAGAAATCATCGTCATCGTCATCGATACCGTCATCGTAGAGGAACATGGGAACTGAACTGGGTTCAGAAACTCGTGCGGCAGACGGTAAGCACACGGCGGGACCTGCGTGAGCATGTCGCTCAAGAAGCAATATTCGGGGGTCACCACTTATTCTTCACGACGCGTAAATTAAAATTATGCATGCTGTCAGCTGACGTCAGATCATCCGCCTTCCATCGCAGTTGGAAGAAAGAGGTAGACGGTGTCTTCACGTCGAACACAGCACACACACACTCCAACGAAACATAACAAACCAACATTGTTGGCCGACTGGGGAAAAACATGTGGGAAACACACGGAATAGTAGCGGCACCAGGCACCGATGGCTTCACAGGACATAGTCTGGGACGTCTTCAGGGTGCCTAGTTCTGAAGGCGTGTTCGAAATGATGACTGTCTTACTCACCACCTTCCTCCGAGACCTCTTCTACCCTGCTCCCCCGACACACCGACATTGCCGTCGATGTCATGGCCCAGTCTCCTGCACATCCCCCAGGCACAAATAGCGCAGAACACACCTGGAGCCGAATCCCAACATTGTCATGATTGGTGCGACAGCAGCGAGTGAAGGTGGCAGCCAGGCCCAGCGGAGCGCGCACTGGGATCCGAGAGGGCCCTGGGTGCGGGTGGCGGCTCAGGAAAGGCCTCTAAAGGGCACCGTGCGCGTGCAACTGGAATGAGACGGTGTAGATGGCGATCGGGAAATCCAGAGGTACCGAACTTCAACGACTGACAGGTACCCTGGCGGCGCGCAACAGGTCGGGTGTTGTTAGAAGTGCCCCTGGCACAAGGCGCCCCCAGGATTTCCAAGAAGGCCCCCACGGCCTCCAGAGCACCACTCACGAGGCCCAGAGGGCCCCAGGGGCTCCAAAATGGAGCGGAAAGCTGGGGGCACCTTGGGCCAGGGCACTTCTAGCCACACCCGAGCAAGGGGGTACGGTAGGTTCGTGCGGCGTCGGCGCGCGCACAAGTCTTTGATACCGCGTCGACCCTACAAACATGAGCCGATCGCGGCCCCGATCGTTCAAGGTTGAGTTCCGCCGGGTCCTGTGGCGTCACCGTGTCCCTCGGTGCTTCTGCGTCGCAGAATTTCAGCCTTGAACGCCTTCGACGGCGTCGCCGGCGCGCGATCACCGCATGAACCTACCGTACCTTGGCAGCGTGCGCAAAGGGGTAGAGGGAGGCGGGAAGCCTGCTTAGAAGGAGGCTGCTTCTGCGAAGGCGCGGGCCCCACATCTGTGGACAGGACCCGCGCCTTCTCGGAGGCAAGCCTTCCTCCCTCTTCCTATCCCCCTCTGCGCGTGGCCGAGGGGAGGCAAGACAACCACATGTGACATGTGACATGGGACACTCAAATAAATACACACAAATAAACAGATTCCCCATATTTTCCCATATTTTCTCGGTTTCTGTCTTCCCCCCCACCCCCCATATTTTCCCATATTTTCTGGGGAGTCGACGATTAATTGTGTCTGTGTTTTTTCTCCTACAGATCAGATGGACGCAACGCCGGCAGGAGCCGAGAATCCTCGAAGGACGCCCGCAGCCAGCAGAAGCCTGGCGGGGGAGGCCGACAGCCCAGCGCCGCGCGGCACCGAAGGTTACCAGCCTGGAGCATATCCCATCCCTATGCTGGGCATCGCCCCATCGCGATGCCAATCTCAGGGACTCCCTCGGTTTTTGAGGGCGCATCCCTAAGATTGTCGTCGCCCTTTCGGCGCGTCAATCGTAGGGATAGGGATGAGTTCGAGGCTGGTCCTCCTCCTCCTCCTCCTCCTCCTCCTCCTCCTCTTCCTCCTCCCCCTCCTCCTCCTCTTCCTCCTCCTCGCGTGGCACCGGAGGGGCAGGGCTCGCGGGAGGGCGCAGAGCGGGGGCGCGGCGGTCCCGGGGCCGCCCGCGCCCGCGCCGAGGGCGTCGGCCTCGGGCTGCACGGCGCCCCACGCCGCGCGCGCCTTGCCCGGGCGGAGCGGAGCGGGGGCCATCGCTCGGACGTCCATTCCCCGTGTTATTTTTGTCGGTTTCGCGCGCGGCTTTTTCGCACAAAATGATCAAGGATGCTCCTCGATGGTCCTCGCCGAAGGAAAAAATGCACACGTCCGAGCGATGCCAAGAGCGGGGGGGGGGGCAGGGCGCTGGCCGGGAGAGGGGGCGCCGGGCGGGCTCGCGCCTCGGCAGCGGCGGCGCGGTTGTCTGGCACGGCGCGGGCCGTGCGGCCTGGAGCAGCCAGGGCCTTCTGGACAATCCAGGTCCATCGATGTCGGCACGGCCCGGGCCACGGGGGGCGTTCAACCCGGAGCGCCCGCGCTGGGGGTCGCCGCCGCGTCGGGCTCATCCTCTGCCACTGTGTAGATCCCATCCAAAGTGCAGGTTGGTCATTGCCCTGGCCACTCCCATTCTTTGCCCGAGCCTCCCGAGGGCCCACCGACGGCGAAGACCTGGCATGGAGGAACTGCCCATGCCTCGCTGCGAACAGCAGCACAGTGGCTGACCGAAGCAGGCAAGCTGATCTGATCCTTCGGCACTCAGTCGCTCGACGCTGCCCCCTTGAGCGACAATCAGACACGGGTCTCACGCGAGATGGCACAATTACCTTACGCGGTGGCTTACGTGGGCGGCCAGCGCGGCACCCCACATTGGAAGCGAGCGCGCTTACTCGCAACCTTACGCGGGCAGCTTACGCTCCAATGTCGGCGCAGGCGACCCCGTCATTTTTCGGCGGTGGACAAACCTCCCTTTGTAAACCTCCCCTTAGTGAAAACGGCCGGGGACCGAAACCGACGGGCCTGAACCCGCAAACATGACGGCCGCGGCGCCCTCTCGCGAACCGAAAACGGCCAATTCCCTTAATCGACGTGTCAGGGTAGGAGGTCTGTCCACCTCCGAATTTTGCGTCGCTCACTCGG